GGGCTTGATCAACCGCAAATGCTTTATCTTTTATTTGTAAGACCACTCCAGAGCCCCGATTTCCTTCCCTCCTCTGAAGTGCCCGTCAAGGGGGTGAAGGGAAGGGGAAGGTAGCGCGGGTACATACAAATGCTCCAGTTTTCTCTATTTGCGTGCACATGCATATTTTGTGAAATTTTCTTCATGACTGTCACGACCCCCCTCCCCTCTCGGCCTCTTCAACTCTCCAACTCCACATATGCCCCCCATTCGCCATTTTTCCGTGAGATTATCAACTTTGGTCAACCCCCGGTAGGCTTAACTCCCAGAATGGCAAATATGACCCCGTTGGTATTTGTACCAAGGAACAGTTGACCTGGTTATACCTATTTTGAGAGAAAGCATTTGATAGGTATCGATTGTTCGCTGACCTGACATTGTTTGTGAATCATTCCTTTTGGTGTGGCGAAGTTTACATGAACGACGAGATCTTCGATGTTGCCGTACCTGAATGGAAAAATATCCACTATGTCTATTTGCCAATTTGGCTACGCACGCTGCCGCGCCGCGCATCACGTGGGTATGGAACAAGGCAAAAGAAACTTTGGCTTTACCCCGCCCATCTCGGGTCACACCCCGCCCTCTTTAAACACTGACCTTGTCTCTTCAGATTTTCCTATTACTCCCATCAGAGCCGTATTACGAATTTTTAAGTTTACGCGCTGCACACTGTTCTTATGCAAGCTTCTTATAAATGCCAGATGTTCCAACAAGAGATGGAATAAAATTTTTGGAAAATGGGTGAAAATTCATGAGCTGGTGAAAAAGTAAATACTTAATGGAGCGTTCATAGTTGGCGATCGTACGTGCGATTAGGCGAGTAGGCGAGTAGGCGATAAGGGAAGGATACGTATTGATTTGTTGCTCCGCCCATTGAGCGATCGCCTAATCGCCTAATCGCCTACTCGCCTACAACGCTCTATGGGCGGAGCAAACCAATCAATACGTATGTAGTCTTCCCGCCTAATCGCCTAATCGCCTAATCGCACGTCGATCGCCGATCGCCAACGCTGAACACTCCATAAAACACGCTTGAATCAGCGAATTGTTGAGGACAGCAAATCTTGAACTTACTTATTCTTTTTCATGCCACTGGCCCTTGTCGACACCCATCCACCGAGGGTAGAAAATTCTATGGAGTCAGGTTCATGACCGCAAGTGAATCCTTTACTGTTCAGTTGACTCTCGAGCGCTTGTCCAATGATACCGGCCTAAATCAGTCGTATTGGATAGTGAGGACACAGAAAAACTAGAACCATTTCGAAGATCAAAAGCATTCAATAATCGAACGTTGCGAGGACGGTAATCACTAATGGTACTTGCTTCAACGATGATTGCTTATGAGTTTCACTAAAATTTTGCAAAACTTCAATATTTCAAGAAGTCACCATTTTTTGAACACAATAGAGCAAAAAGTTTTCCTGGACACTCGGAAAGAAATTATGTATGAACGATCGCATAAATTTCTCAGAGGGTGTCATGTGAGCTTCTCTTTTTCTTTGAAGGCACACCCCACAATAAAATTGTTATTGGTATTCCGCTGAAAGATGATACAAAGGGTACGAAGTGAACCGATAGCGAAGAAAAAAGAAAAAGAAATAACCGCAAACGCTGAGAACAAGGGCCATTTTTCCTGGCCGTGGAGAGGTATAAGAGGTAGAAAGCGAGATAAGTGAACTGAGTGCCGAGGAGAGTGAAAAGAATTTGACACGAGAGAGCACACGATGTATACGAATACCAAGCGCGACTATCAGCATTACCTCCAGGAAGGATCCTGTGTACTAGCTTCCTTAGTTTTTAGCGCCTATGCCTGAAAATTTCGTACAGCCAAGTCGGTATATCCATGTGCTGGCATACCCCTCTACCATTCTCGGGTTACTGTGTTACTCCACTACCACTGACCGTGGGGGTGCGCTTTAAGTCGGGATCCGGAAACTGTAATGTGTTTATTATTTTTCTTTATTGTGTTCAATATCCAAGCGAAAGTGTTTTCGCCTTTTTGCTGTTTTTTTTTCATTGAGAATGCCCACAAGCATTTTGTTTGACAAGTGCTTTTAAATCTCACCTGCGCTCTGCATGTCAGGTTCTCCTTATCTATCCAGATAATCTTATCCATCAGAGCCATATCCATAGAGATCACAGCTCGTTGTTCTGTGACAGGACATTCGAGAGCACTTGACACAGAAGTACCGCCTCCGATTGGAATAATCGCACAGTTGGTGCTCATTGCCAGGTCGATAATCTGAATAAATCGATAATTGATTACTATCACTTCTGGGACCCAGGGTCGACCGTCCGTTGATTCAAGTACCAACGGGATGGAGGAGCTTATAAGCGGTTTTTGGAGGATAGGGTGTATTTCGGGCTAGCGAAGGTCAAAATGTCAGAAAAGCGGTTAGTATTGAAAGGGTTGTGGTTCCGGAAGGGGTCGTTTCTGACGGGTTTTTGAAGACTTCAGTGAAAGCTTCACGAAAAAAGGGATGAAATGGATAACGTTGGAGGGATTTCCGCCATTTTGGGCATACTTACCTCCCCCACCCGCCTATCAGCCCCGCAGTGGTTTTGGGCAAAAATGGGCAAGGTTGGAGCATGTCTAGTGTTTAGAGAATCGAATACTTTGGGTAAGGGTGGTGACCGAATGAGAGGGTGGTTGAGGGGTCGTAAAATATTGAGAAAACCAACGCTAAGGGACCCTACTGGGACCCATCCCGGCGGAATGAGCTGTACACTGCAAAGTACGAGGTGAACTGCTCCAAAATGGAAGGATTTAGCCCAGGTGAGGGACTAGCCAAATTCGGTCAGGTCTACCCCCGCCATCTCAGAAATGAACTTCTGTGAAGGTACTGTAATTGTCAGACAAGCAAAGCTTTCAAAGGCATGGTAGTGCCCAGGCAGGGCCACATGAAGTCCAAACCCGAAAGTGCTGACCATTTCTAGCTAACTGGCTGCAGTATCCAGTGCTCTGAAGGAAGGAGGTCTAGTTAAAATTGGTTCCTCGGTGAAAAAAAGGTGATGGGCGGAAGTGGTGTAGTGGCAAGTGGCGCGCTTACCACGCGAGCGGTCCGGGGATCAAATCCTGGGTCGTGAGTCGCCCGGGCCAACCAAGCCTTCCATCCCTCCGGGGTCGGTTAATTGGTACCAGACTTGTCTGGGAGGATAAAAACACTGACTTGTCGGCTGGCCTCCCGAAAGTGTAGGCCAGAATGCATAAAAAATGCCACTACGATTCTGAATGGAAGTGAAATGCGTGGCGCAACCCAAAGAAGGGTTAATTAATGACGTATGCTTTACCCTCATCACTTACCCTCGCTGATTTCAAGGGCAAAGAGATAGTTACGTTCCTCTATCGATTGATCGCCATTTATGAGACAATCGACTCACCTTCATACATCTTGTTCACTTCGTGGCCATACGACGAGATCAGGCAGCCGTGGGAATTTCCCTTGAC